GGCATGAAAACTCATTAAAAACTCATAGTTTAGTAAGGTTAAAAAGTCATAGTGTAGTAAGGTATTAAAAAGTCATAATAATTCATAGTATATTAAGGAATGAAAAGTCAAAAAAGTCATAGTATAGTAAGGAATAAAAAGTCATATAAAAGTCATATTATTTTAAGGGATAAAAGTCATAAAAACATAATAGAATAGTAAGGCATAAAAAGTGATAAAAATGGCATAGTATAGTAAGGCATGAATAATAATAAAAACGTCATAGTACAGCAAGGCATGAAAACTCATTAAAAACTCATAGTTTAGTACGGTATAAAAGACATAAAAACATAATAGAATAGTAAGGCATAAAAAGTGATAAAAATGGCATAGTATAGTAAGGCATGAATAATAATAAAAACGTCATAGTACAGCAAGGCATGAAAACTCATTAAAAACTCATAGTTTAGTACGGTATAAAAGACATAAAAACATAATAGAATAGTAAGGCATAAAAAGTGATAAAAATGGCATAGTATAGTAAGGCATGAATAATAATAAAAACGTCATAGTACAGCAAGGCATGAAAACTCATTAAAAACTCATAGTTTAGTACGGTATAAAAGACATAAAAACATAATAGAATAGTAAGGCATAAAAAGTGATAAAAATGGCATAGTATAGTAAGGCATAAAAAATCACAAAAAACATTATAGTACAGGAAGGCATAAAAGGCCATAGTATAGTAAGGTATAAAAAATTATAAAAACGACATTGTATAGTAAGGCATAAAAAGTCACAAAAAACATTATAGTACAGTAAGGCATAAAAGGCCATAGTATAGTAAGGTATAAAAAGTCATATAAAAGTCATATTATTTTAAGGGATAAAAGTCATAAAAACATTATAGTATAGTAAGGTATAAAAGGTCATACTATAATGAGGCATAAAAAGTCATATGTAAGGCATAAAAGTAACAAAAAAGTCATAGTATAGTAAGGCATAAAAAGTCATAGTATAGTAAGGCACAAAATGTCATAGTATAGCAAGACATAAAAAGTCATAAATACGTCATAATATAATAAGGCACAAAATGTCATAGGATAGTAAGACATAAAAAGTAAAAAAAAAGTCACAGTATAGTAAGGTATAAAAAGTCAAAAAAACGTCATTGTATAATAAGGCATAAAAAGGCATCAAAATTCATAGTAAAGAAAGGCATAAAAAGTCATAAAATAGTCATATAATAGTAACGTATTAAAGTCACAAAATCATTATATAGTCATCGTATCGTAAGGCAAAAATAGTAATAAAAACCTCATAGTATAATAAGGCAAAAAAGTCATAGTATAGTAAGGCATAAAAAGTAAAAAAACTCACAGCATAGCAAGTCATAAAACATTATATTATAGTAAGGCATAAAAAGTCATGAAAAAGTAATTGTAAATAAGGAATAAAAGATATTCAAAGGTCATAGTATAGTAAGACATGAAAAGTCATAAAAAGTCATGATATAGTAAGGCATAAAAAATCATAAAAATGATATAGTATATTAAGGCATAAAAAGTCATAAAAAAGTAATTGTACAATAAGGCATGGAAGTTATTTAAAAACTCATAATATAGTAATGCATAAAAATGACATAGAATAGTAAGTCATAAAAAGTTACAATATATTAAGCCACAAAATCATAAAAACATCATCATACAGTAAGGCATAAATGAAATTTAAAAAAGTCATAGTGAGACATAAAAAGTCATAAAAAAGTCATAGCACAGTAAATCATAAAAACGACGTAGTATAGTAAGGCATAAAAAGTCTTAAAAAGTCATTATAGTAAAGCATAAAAAGTAATGAAAAAGTAATTGTACAATAAGGCATAAAAGTAATTTAGATAGTCATACTGAGGCATAAAACGTCATAAAAAAGTCACAGCATAGTAAGTCATAAAAACAACATTGTGTAGTAAGGCATGAAAAGTCAGTATAGTAAAGCATAAAAAGTTATGAAAAAGTTATTCTACAATAAGGCATAAAAGAAATTTAAAAAGTTATAGTATAGTAAGGCATAACACATCATCGTATAGTACGGCATAAAAGTCATATTTGACTGCCCTAAAAACAGGAAGGGCCAGAGCTGTCTCTTCTTTCTGAGAAAGCTGAGGTCCTTCAACATCTGCCGGACAATGCTGAGGATGTGTGGTGGCCAGTGCCATCCTCTATGCTGTTGTGTGGTTGGGGAGCACTGACGGTGAAGGACGCCAACAGACTTAATAAACTCATCCACAAGGCCAGCCACATTGTTGGAGGGGCGCTGGAATCTCTGACAGAAGTGTCAGAGAGGAGAATGTTGTCCAAGATAAGGACAGTACTGGACAACTCTTCACACCGTTGCCACAGGAGCAAGTTCAGCCAGAGACTCATTCCCCCACATTGCGCTACAGAACGCCACAGGAAATCTTTCCTGCCTGTGGCCATCAATCTGTTCAACTCTTCCCTCTGAGAATCGATCAGTCAATTGATTGATCCCTGGACAGTTTAAGACAAATTTCACTGCCTACTGTAAATGACATGTAAATAATAATAACTATGCATATAACGTTTATTTCTGACAGGGTATATTATTATTATTATTATTATTATTATTTTCTTTTACATTTGAATATCGGGGGTTACATTTTTATTATATTTGTATGTGTGGAATATGTGTGTGGAGCAGGGAATTAATGAAGTATATCTGATTCTGATTATAAGTCAAAAAAATTCATGAAAATGAAACTGTATAAAAAGTTGTGAAATCGTCACAGTATAGAAAGGCATGAAAATGTCATATTATAGTAAGGCTTCAAAAGTCATAAAACCATAGTATAATAAATCATGAAAAGTCATGTAAATAAAATTGTATATAAAGTCATAAAATCATTGTAGTATAGCAAGGCATGAAAAGTTATGTAAATGAAATTGTAAAAAGTCATAAAATCACCATGTCATAAGATGTCATAGTAAGGTATAAAGGTATAAAAAAGTCATAGTATAGTAAATCATGAAACAGTCACAAATCATACAGTAAATGTAAAACATGTCATGGTACAATAATAAATATCAGTGAATTACATAGTTTATTTGTTTATTAAAAGATTTTTTATTACCATTAATAACCAGGTTTTTCTGTTTGTAATACTTACAACCAATGACTCAAAGAATCAGACAAAACAATCAGACATAATTCAAAAATGTAAACTTTTATTTCATTAAAAAACAACAACACAAACATTTGTGACTTCTCTATTATCCGGGAAAAAAAATTGTCTAATTTTTGGCTGATGCTGTGACATCATCATGACATCACTGATGACATCACTCAGACAGCCAGAGTTTGAAGGTTCGGTCATAGGAGCTGGTTGCGATCAGTTTCCCGTCAGGTGACACGTCTACACCCATCACCTGGAAACAAAAAGACGACACATTAACATACCCGAGCCGTCTCCACCAATCAGCAGCAGCATCCAAATGGACCAATCAGAGCCCTGTGTTCTTACCTTCCCCTCATGTCCAGCAAGCGTTTTCAGCGGCGTCCAGCCAGGGTGACTCCAGACCTTCGCCGTGTTGTCGTACGCTCCAGTCAACAGGAAGTGACCGTCTGTAGCTAGAAACAAAAGACAGGAAGTCAGGTCAGCGATAGGAAATAAAGACACAATTTTTTTATTTAAATGGAGGAAAAAAAGTTTAAAAAAAGAAGAAAGATAAAAAAAACTGACCAAGAAGACAGACAGAGCAAAGAAATTCATCAAATATAACAATGACTTTAAAAATAATTTTAATGTTCAAAAATAAAAGGTGTCTTTTTACGTTGGAACCGGACAGCAGAGAGCAGGTTCTGGTGGGCCGGCACTGTGTACAGACACTTCCTGTTTCTCAGCTCCCAAACCTTACAGGTGTTATCACCACTTCCTGTCGCCAGGTGATACCTGAGAGAACAGAGAACCACAAACAAATATTTCTTAAAATTTAGAATGCACTTCAACAAATAAAAGTGTAAAATTACAAAAACATCTGATCTCATGTTTGTTTTTTTATTTGATAAATTTTATTGTAAAATTTATTTTCAGTTTACACTAAACCGCTCTCCTCTGATTGGCTATGTTTTTAGTGTGCTCGTCTCTGATTGGCTGACCCGTTGGGGGAGAAGTGCAGACTGTAGATCTCCTTCAGGTGTCCCTCCAGGAAAACAACACAGCGTCCAGTCCGAAGGTCCCACACCCTGCCGAACGCATCCAGCCCTCTGATTGGACAAAAGCCAGAGAGTACAGACTGTAGCACAGTGTAGTAGTCCAGTGTAATCCAGTCTAGTACAGTATGTAGCACAGTGTAGTCCAGTGTAGTACAGTATAGTACTGTGTGGTTCTGTGTAGTACTGTGTAGTACTGTGTAGTCCAGTGTAGTACAGTATAGTACTGTGTGGTTCTGTGTAGTACTGTGTAGTACAGTGTAGTACAGTGTAGTACAGTGTAGTACAGTATAGTACTGTGTGGTTCTGTGTAGTACTGTGTAGTACAGTGTAGTACAGTGTAGCACGTTACCCAGTAGCAGCCAGCGACCCGTCGGGGTGGAAGTGAAGATCGTGGACTCCTTTGCTGTGACCTTCCTGATGGAGGATTTCCTCCTGAACCTCCAGGTCCCACAGACGCCACGAGTTGTCATAACTACATACACACACACACACACACACACACATATACAAATACTCAGACTGTGTATTAGTATACACAAACATCACAGTTACTGTGTACAAATACTCAGAGTGTGTATTAGTACAGTTTACCAGGTTGTTCCCAGGAACCTTCCAGATGGATGCCAGGACACCCGAGACACTCGCTCACTGTGACCCTCGATGTCCGCCACTGGCTCGTCGCTACGGCAACCAGAGATGTACAGGAATGAATGACTGTTATAGGACGACCTTATAAAACCAGGAAGTTCAGGTCCTCGATTCCTCCCTCCTCGTCTCTGCCCTTGACTCCTCACCCCCTCATTCCTTGTTTCCTCCTGTCTCCTTCCTCCCTTCCCTCCTTGTCTCCTCCATCCCTTCCCTCTCAGTCCCTCCCTTCCTTCCCTCCATGTCTCCTTGTTCCCTCCCTTCCTTCTTCCCCTCCTCCCTTCTTTCCCTCCTTCTCTCCTCACTTTCTTCCCTCCATGTCTCCTCCCTCCCTTTTATCCCCCTTCCTTACCTCCATGTCTCCTTGTTCCCTCCCTTCCTTCCTCCCTTCCTCCTCTCCTTGGTTCCTTGTCTCCTCCCTTCCTTCCCTCCTCCCTTCCCTCTCTGTGTTTCCTCGTGTTATCCCTTCTTCACATCCTTCTCTCTTACCTCTTTAGGTTCCACAGCTTCACAGACCCATCAGCTGCACACGATGCCAAGCTGACATCCGATTGGTCGAGATAGACTCCGGCCTGTGGGCGGAAGACAACTGCACCCACGTTGGTGTTGTGTCCTTCAGCCAATCAGAGAGCAGGGACAGACAGGGGTGGAGTCTCAGTTATAAAGGGCGTGTTCACATTGAAATCAAATTAAATGAATTTCTGATTCTTTACATTTGAGAAAACTGACATTAAATATATTTTAATATTTAAATGGTTCGTAATCAACAGAAACTGAGGAAATGAGACATGATCTACAGTGACTGATCAAAATTATTATTGTACAACTAGAAAATATATGTATATATCAATATGATGATATGTGATGTGTGAGGAAGTGTGTGTGAACTGTCCTCTTCAGGTCAACAGTTGTGCTCTTAAGTTTACATACCCTGGCAGAATTTGTAAGATGTGTACCATTCTTTAAAGAAAACATGAGTGATCAGACAAAACACATTTCTTTTACTTTTAACGGGATTCAAATACAACTATGAGGCATCACAGAATATCAGTAAACAAAACATAACAATAAAGAAAATACTGAGATGGTCCCTGTTCATAAGTTTGCACACCCATAGTTCTTAATACTGTGTATTTTCTCCTTTAGCATCAACGACGGCTTGTAGTTTTTTGAGGTAGTTGTGGATGAGGCCCTTTATTTTCTCAGGTGGTAAAGTTTCCCATTCTTCTTGGAAAAAAGCCTCCAGGTCCTGTAAATTCTTGTGCTGTCTTGCATGAACTGCACATTTGAGATCTCAAAGTGGCTCAATGATGCTGAGGTCAGGATGAGGTTGCCAATCCAGAACCTTCTTTTTTCTGCTGTAGCCACTGAAGGCTCGACTTGGCCTCATGTTTCTGATCACTGTCATGTTGGAAGTGTGTCGCATGCGCAACTTCCGGGCTGGTGAATGCAAATTGTCCTCCAATACTTTCTGATAACATGCTGCATTCATCTTGCCATCAATTTTGACTAAATTCCCTGTGCCACTGTAGCTCACCCCCCCCCAAACATCAGAGATTCACCTCCATGCTTCACAGTAGGGATGGTGTACTTTTCATCACAGGCCTTGTTGACTCCTCTCCAAACATAGCGTTTATGGTTGTGACCATAAAGTTCCATTTTGGTTTCATCACTCCGAATGACTTTGTTCCAGAACTTCTGAGGCTTGTCTAGGTGTTTTTTGGCATATTGTGAGGGGGCTGTTTTATGACATTGGCATAGTAACGGCTTTCTTCTGGCAACTCGACCGTGCAGCCCATTTTTCTTCAACTACCTCCTTATTGTGCATCTTGTATCCACAGAGAAGCCTGTATGTCAGTGAAGTTGCTTGTGGGTTTTTCTTTGCATCCCGAACAATTTTCCTGGCAGCTGTGGCTGAAATCTTTGTTGGTCTACATGACCATGGCTTGGTATCAACAGAAGCCCTAATTTTTCCACTTCTTTATCAGAGTTTGAACACGACTGATTGACTTTCTCAAATCTTTGGATATCTTTTATATCCTTTTCCTGACTTATAAAGTTCAACTACCTGTTCTCGCAGGTCCGTTCACAGTTGCTTTCCCCATGACTCAGTTTCCAGCAAAGTCAGTGCAGCCCTGGGTGAAATGTGCAGGTGTCTCTCAAAAGCTAAGAAAACTCATTGACTGTCTCTACACGGACACTAATTAGAAGCAAACAGGTAACAGGTGTGGAAACTTTTACCCTTAATAGCCATTTAAAACTGTGTGTCAACTTGTGTGTATATTATCAGGCCAAACATTCAAACGTATGTAAACTTTTGATCAGGGCCATTCTGGTGGTTTCAGTTATCATTATGATTTAGAAAGGTCAAACAAAATTATGTGGTAACAAATGGCTTCACCTGACCACTATCCCAAATGAAAGAAAAGTTTTCTGCATGATCAGTCATGTTTTCCAAAAAATGGCCAATATTTCACAATTTCTGCCAGGATATGTGAACTTACAAGCACAACTGTATGTGGTCTATGTGGGTCAGGTCTGGACTTAGCCTGGGACAGGGACAGTCAGAGACTGGTAATGAAAGTTGAAGTCAAGTCTGACCAGTCTCCCTGTCTGTGCTGCTGAGAACCCCCCCCCCCATATACAGCTATAAAGTTATCTTGACAGTGAATTCAGAAATGACTGAATTACATGTTATTCATAGAAAATGAGAAGCTCTGCCCACCTCTGAGTGTTCGGATCAGGTTACAGTCAGGGACAGACCACAGCTTACACAGACCACTCCTGTCGGGGGGAGGGGTTAGCATGTTAGCATTAGCTTCATCATGATGTAAACATGTAGTAAAAACAAATGCTGTCCCTGTGTGTGTCTATGCTAACTCTTTGTGTGCTCCTGCTAATGCTAACAGTGGGTGTGGCTTGTTACCAGGAGGCAGTGGCCAGCATTTTGGAGTCGGGGCTGAAGTGGCAGAAACTGATTGGTCGATCATCACCGATCTGACTGCAGAAGTTGTTCAGATTCTGAAGAGCCGATCGAAATGTTGATTAAAACCATCTCTTTTAAATCCTTAATAAATATAATTAATATTATTAATAATAGAAACTCATTAATACGAAATAATACCCTTTGATGACTTCATCTTATTTATTGATTTGTGCTTTAATGAAATTAAATCCGTCTCACCCTCAGGCTCTTGTGCAGCTCCTGTTGCCGGATCGTCCTGGTTGCCTCAGCAACATCCCTCTGAGCACGTGCAGCCTCCAGACGTCTCATCGCCCTGACAGATCAATCACAGCAGGAGCTTTTGAGTCACAGCCAATCAGATCCCTCCGGGATTTAGGACTCTTGTTCAGTTTGTTACAATCTTCTCTCGCTACATGTGTTTATCACTCAATGGTCAGAGGGACATTCAGCTTTCACACACAGTTACTGGTCATCATCATTTAGTGTCATCACTGTCAGCTGCTCACTTTCTCATTTATAAACTGTGGAGTGTTGCATTGTGGGATTGTTAGCAGGCAGCAGAGTCTCAGAACAGCGAAATACTCAGAGGTCAGACAGGGAATCAGAGGAACTGATCATCAGGTGAGCTGATGGACAGGTAAACAGGTAGTGAGGTGTGTGGACATCTAACTGATGGTGTTTGATGTGGAAATGATTATATCAACACGACTGAGAAATGCTTCTGGTCCTCCTCTGTCTCTGATTAGTCAGTTTGTTGCTGACTCACCGTGGCAGAGAGTATTTGGCCAACCAGAGCCGGGCGTCCCGCAGGGAAATGGAGCCCTCGTGGTACCACGTCTGCTGGCACTGTGATTGGTCAGAAAGAAAAGGTTACATTTTTACAGTTTTGTTCAATCCAGTGATCTTTTTCTTTATTTCATTCTTGTGTACTTCAGTGTATTTCTGTGTGTACTTGAGTGTATTTCAATGTGTATTTCAATGTGTATTTCTGTGTACTTACCTCGTCCTGTGATCTCTTAGCTCTCTCTTCATCTTTCCTGGACTTCTTCAGAGCGTCTGGACCGACCACAGACAAGACACTTCGCAGCCTGAACACAAACATCAGAAAAACTTTATTTCAAAATTAATTAGTTTAATTTAAGGAAAATTACCTGTGATATCTGCATTTCTTTAGTTAATGACATAGGCAGTTATATAGATTATTTCCTGATACCAACACATTAAAACTGCGAATGTACCTGACTTTAAAACTGTGTCCACTCTGAACCACAGACTGATGTTGTGATGTTTGTTTTGGACTGAACTGATGTAGATTCATTTTCATTTAGTTTTCTTCCAACGTCTGAATCTTCAGTAAAATCTGATTAAGACCAAAGGTCCTGTTTTTTCCTGTTACTCTTCAAATAAACTGAAACAATGTTTTATTTAAAACTAATTCACTGAAACATGTAAGTCAAGTTTAAACTAAAAAAGTCTTATTTTCCCACCTCTCCCGGCGGTCAGCTGGTCCCTCTCCGAACAACGTGATTGGCTCTCCAAGCGCCCGGAGACCGGCCTTCACCTCTGCGTCATCGGTGGAGACGGTGATCTGTCGTGCTCGCCGCCGCCGCTCGAACTCAGCGAGCGCTTCCTGCTGCCGCTCGCTGACCCGCTCCTCCATCTCCAGAGTCTCTCCTGCATGGCATCATGGGAAATAGTCTCATTTCCACCACACAAGTAAAAAAAAAAAAAAAAAAAAAAAAAAAAAAAAAAAAAAACACCTATAGTTTATAACAGTTTATGTGGTATATTGGATCGAGTACTCGGTGCTCGATTGTGTTAGACTGTCACCACTACTGAGTTCTGTAATACACTGGTCTGGCCTGTACTAGTGTGATTCGCCCACCCGTAAAGATCGGACTTGTGCTGCATCCTCGTCTCCGTGTATTTATGTATAACAGTGATTAGGGTCGGGCGATATGGCAAAAATATCATATCACGATTTTTTAAAAATAAAATCATGATTTCGATTTTATCACGATCTTAAATTGGAAAAAGAAAAACAGACAATTTAGACCAAAGAACCTTTCTTAACAGATTTTATTTCAAATAGTCGCAGTTTTGCCTGCATGTGCAAACAACGTAAAGTTTAACGTAAACAACAACAACATCCTAATGAAGTGCACTCTTGCAAAAGTAACAGAAAGTAAAATATCAATCAAAGACATTACTGACAGTCATTTAAACAGGATTTATTTATCAAAACACTAAATAGCTTATTGAAACGCAAAAATACAAACTAAAGTGACTGTGGTTATCTCTTTTAGTGCAGCAGTTGCTAGTGCTTTAGTGCTTCCTCTTCAGGTGATTAAACAGGTTCGTCGTGTTACCACCCGACGTGCGAACGGTTTCTGTGCAAACTTTGCAGATTACATTTGCTTGCGCTTGATCAGTTGCGGAAAATCCAAACCAATTCCATATAATGGAGGTGGAATTTTTCTTAGCGACCAAATCCGTTTGGCTTTCAGCCATCGCTCTCCATGTGCTACCGCTACACACACAAACAAGGAGGCGGGTAGGAAAGCGCGTCACTGCCTGTAATTCGCTATGATTGGTCGGTCAGGTTGACGACGTCAATGCGTCTGGTGCGTCGGTGCATCAGCATAGAACTGCAATTTATAGAATGTGCCCTAGACGATCCCACGATCTCTGCAGTTTGAAAGATCGTCTTCACGTTGTAATCCTTCACGATCTAATATCGTCATATCGCCCACCCCTAAGTGTACATAAAGTAAAACCACAACATGGTGTCAGAAGACGGAGTTACGGAATAATTTGAGGACGGTGTTTTAATAAGTTAAAAATGAACAGGCAGCTAACAAGTGCTAGCGCGCGCAAATATGGAACAGTTCAAGCCGCCACCACCGCTGCTACTGACCGGGAATGTCGCTGAAAACTGGAGAAGATGGGAGCAGCGGTTCCAGCTGTATATGACTGCATCAGGTGCGTTGAATAAGGAAGAGTGGTTAAAATAGCCATTCTGCTTCACACCATTGGCGAGGAGGCGCTGGAAGTGTATAATACACTCACCATCATCCCAGAAGGGGAGCCTTCACGGACTACCGCAGCCCGCGAAAGAACGTCGTTTTCGAACGCCATCAGTTCTGGTCGCACATGATGTCAGCAGGAATATCGGTGGACAGATTCATCACAGAGCTACGCCAAAAGAGCAAAGACTGTGAGTTTGGCAGACATGAAGATGACATGATAAGGGATAAATTAGTGTTTAGCATAAACGATGCCCGTTTGAAAGAGACTGTTACGTGATAATGCGCTCACTTTGCGCAGGGCTATAGAGACATGTAGATCAGCCGAGCTCGCTAAGTCACAGATACAAGCGATGCAGACGTCACATGTTGTCCAAGACACCGCAGTGGATGCATTAAGGAAAGCAACAGGACAAACCCGCGCGGGCAACTGGAACAAGAACAAAATGAGCAGCAAGAGGCATGTAACAACAACTCTCTGCCACAAATGTGGAAATAAACATGAGCCACGTCAATGCCCAGCTTATGCTGCAGTGTGCCACAAATGTGGTAAAAACAACCATTTTTCTAAGGTATGTAAATCAAGCACTGAAAAAAACGGCAACGGCAACTACAAGACAAAGAAGGTACAAAATTTAGAAAGTGAAATTGATTCCTTGTATATAGGCATGATTGGAAGTGGAAACAAAAACAAAACAGCTCACCAAGCTAGAGACACTGTATGGCATGAAACAGCCACAGTTAGAGGCGTAGCAATCAAATTCAAACTGGACACAAATGTGCTTCCCATGCACATGTTCCGACAGCTGCCAGGTCCAATTCGGCTACGGCCCACAAAGACTGTGCTGATTGCTTTTGGTGGAGCACGTCTACCCACAGATGGCGTTGCATCTCTCGAATGCCGGACGGCTAAGCATAAGGCTATACTGGACTTTCATGTGTCTTGCCGAGCTGACAGGCCAATTCTGGGTGGTGATGCATGTGAAGAGCTGCAGCTGGTGAGAAGAGTCGAGGCGCTTGCAGCGAGGTCACCGCAGCCAGCACAACCTCCAGCCACCAAAGAGGAGCTACTACAGAGGTATGCAGAGGTCTTCACAGGATTGGGCGAGTTTCCTGGAGTTCATCACATACACATTGACCCCAGCATCACTCCTGTGATTCACGCATGCAGGAACGTACCACTCTCCATCATGGACTCACTGAGAGAGACACTCAAAGACTTACAGAACAGGAATGTCATAATGCCTGTCAATGAACCTACGGAATGGGTGAACAGTCTTGTTGCCACAAAGAAAAAGAACGGTGAGCTAAGGGTATGTTTGGATCCTTGCAACCTGAATGAGGCAGTCAAGCATCAACACTACTCCATTCCTACACCGGAAGACATGCGCAGCAGGCTAGCAGGTAAATTCATCTTCTCCATCCTAGATGAGAAGGATGGATACTGGCAGATCAAGCTAGATGAGCTATGCACCTTCAACACGCCGTGGGGCTGGTTCCGCTTCCTCCTACTTCCATTTGGGATCAGATCGGCCAGAGAAGTGTTCCAACAAAAGAACTGTGAGACCTTCGGCGATGCACATGTGAAGTTTAACAAAGACAAGATCCAGTTCAAAGTTGATACTGTAAAGTACATGGGACACGTCATCACGGCAGCAGGACAGAGAGCTGATGACACAAAGATCAAAGCGATTGTCAACATGCCAACCCCAGAAGACAAACAAAGTCTCCAACGTCTGCTGGGAATGACAAAATTCCCGGCGCAATACATACCAAATGAAGCCTCTCTCACGGCACCCCTCAGACAACTGCTCAAGAAAGATGTAGCGTGGCAGTGGTACCCGCACCACAGCTCAGCACTACAGACACTGAAGACCACTCTCACACAAGCCCCAGTGCTGAGGTACTATGATCACAAGCAGCCTCTCACTCTACAAGCTGATTCCTCAAAAGATGGACTGGGAGCCTGTCTGATGCAGGATGGCCGCCCAGTGTGCTATGCCTCACGAGCGCTCACAGACACAGAAAAGAGGTACGCACAGATAGAGAAAGAGTTGCGAAAGAGTGTTCGCTGCTAAGAGATTCCACCAGTATGTCTACGGCAGGCCAGTAACTGTCCAGTCCGATCATAAGCCTCTGGAGGTCATCATGCGCAAGCCGCTGAGCAAAGCACCCGCGTGGCTGCAAGGTATGCTTTTACAACTGCAGAGGTATGATCTTAACGTAACATACACACCAGGCAAGCACATGTACATTGCCGACACACTCTCACGCGCCACGGCAAGCAGAGAAGGTGACAATATTGATGAAAACCCCTGTGATGAGAAAGTTGTGTATGCCTTAGAGGCCACAGATGCCTTGAGTGAGGAAGCACTCAGCCAACTAAAAAAGGCAACGGCAGCAGATAGCGTGCTACAAGCTGTGTGTGAGAAGCATAAGAACGGCTGGCCCATGAAAAAGAAAAGTCTGGACAGGAAACTACACGCCTACTGGGCAGTGAAGGACATAATAAGCATGTAGAATGACATTGTATTGGTCGGAAACAAAATCGTCATACCTCAGAGCTTCAAGAGCACGATTTTAGAGAAGCTGCATCTTGCACACCAAGGAGTGCAGCGCACAAAAGCCAAAGCAAGAAAATCCCTCTACTGGCCTGGCATGGCACAAGATATAGAGGCGATGGTGGAAAAATGCGTGCAGTGCCAGCAGCTACAGCCCAAACAGCAGGCTGAGCCACTCATACCACATCAGGTTCCAGAACTGCCATGGATGAAAGTCGGAGCAGACATCTTCGAGCTACACGGTCAGTCATACCTGTTGTTAGTTGATTACCTGACCAAATATCCTGAAGTGCTTAACATATCTGACAAAACAGCTCATACTGTGATCCAGAAAATGAAGTCTGTGTTTGCCAGGCACGGGATTCCTAGGGAGATAGTGAGTGACCACGTCCCATTTGCCAGCTATGAGATGAAGTCATTCGCAGCTTCATGGGAGATCAAACTCACACACTCCAGCCCAGGTTTTCCCTCTTCAAATGGCATGGCTGAAAGAGCCATAAAGACTGTAAAACATGCGCTGAAGAAGGCAATGCGGTGCGGGCGGGAGCCTGCAGTTGTCATCCGACAGCGAGATGAACCACGCTCCTACACTGTGCAGACACCGGCTGAGAGGACGCAAAGAAGGAACAGGTGACATCTGAGGAAGATACATCCGAGCCTATTCAGAGACCCGGACAGTGATGAACATTTTGACTCAGAGATACAACCCTCACAAACGCCTGTGTCAGTGGGCTCACCACCACATGACCTGCCACCACACGACCCTCCTCCTGTGACTACGGGCAGTACACTCATATGCTACACAAGGAGCGTCAGACGCCCTGCCAGATACAATGACTAACCTTTCATGTGATCTTTCAGGTGTGTTTAAAAGGCATAAAAAAAGAAAAAAAAGAGAAGTAAAGAGTATAAGGTGTGTTCAACCTGAAGTGTTTTAAGAATGTTGAATGTTAGAAAAATGTTTACGTTTCAACCAACAGAATGCAGAAAGGAACATGATTTATGTTGTTTTATGAGAGCCATTTATCATTTGAAAACATGCTTTATTAATCATTGAAGTATGCAAGTAGAAAACACTTGTTCGATGTTGATGCCATGACGTTAATGGTTAAGTAAAGAATCTACTCTTGAAGTAACTGATTAGTAGGCCACATCTCAGTTGGAAAAGAGGGATGTGGTATATTGGATCGAGTACTCGGTGCTCGATTGTGTTAGACTGTCACCACTACTGAGTTCTGTAATACACTGGTCTGGCCTGTAGTAGTGTGATTCGCCCGCCCGTAAAGATCGGACTTGTGCTGCATCCTCGTCTCCGTGTATTTATGTATAACAGTGATTAAGTTAGTAACCCACGATTAGTAGCACTACAATAGTGTACATAAAGTAAAACCACAACAGTTTATAACAGGTGACCCACCTGAGGAGATGTTGATGTTACCCGCCTCTATCCCCGCCTTCACCGCATCACTTCCTGACATTGCGCTGCTTGCCATCTCTGAGCTCAGACGTTCCCGTTCTTTCTCCTCGAGGCTTCCATAGAAAACACGACTCTTCTTCACGGCTGGAACCGCGTCCTCTTCGTCGGACATTTTCACACACTCTCTTCTTCTTCTTCTTCTTGTACTGCTGCTGTGGCACCCAGAGGCTGCTGGGAAAAAGGTCACAGCAGAAAATTATTTCATAATAAATACAAAATAAATTTAGTTTTTACTTTTCACAGGTTAAAAATACTAATAAAAAAGAAAACAAAAAACAAGCTCATTTCTGTATAAAAAATAATAAGAAAAAACATAAAATTAAATCAGATTTTTTACCAATATAGCAGGGGTTTAAAAATAAAATGATTTTGATTATGGCATAATAACATAACATAAATATCTTGTATGATCATGTATGAATTTTACATAACATCAGAGGTCTGGAACAATTTTTAATAAAATAACAAACCCAAGAATATTTTATAAGTAAGGTGTAAGTGCAGACAGTCGGTGGAGGAAACATTTCAAAGACTTTTCTTGACGAGGCCGTTTTATTCTTTAAGACTCTATGATCACATGTCAATCATTTACACAGAAACTGTTTCATTTTGAAATATTTTAAGGGATTCGGTTCTAACAGTCTAAAATCATACGGTTCTTTACCTGAGTTTGGTGCGAATAAAAAGGTTTAGTTTGGTGTTACAGAGAAAAGGAGATAAAAGGAAGAACACGAGAAAACGCGACACACACTATGTTAGCATTAATATTAGCATTCAAACGGCTACTTATCTAGCGTCACACTGCGTCACACACACATGAGCAGACACACGGCAGGTGTGAAACGGTCCGTTAATAAACTTTATGCTGAAATATTTTGCATTTACAAACTTACAGCCGAAGACAAACGAGGCGTCGGAGTCTCTCAATTCCGTGACCTGGATGTAAACACATCATCTGCTTCCGGGTCAAAGGTTGTTTTCCGGTCGATACAACGGTAGCACACAAATAGAAAAAGAAAAAAACCCGGGAAAACAACATCACAGCTGTCAGGTAACGTTACACACCTTTATCACAACTACGGAGCCCGTGTTATAAAGTTCTTAAGTTCCAGTTTAATTTACCGGGTTTAGACATTTAAACAGACGTTAGCAGCTTAGCTTAGCTTCCGTTTACTGTTAGACTGAAACAGGAAGAAGCACCGCGATTCACTGGTGTATACTGGAGTAAACAGGTACGTAGTGGTGTGTACTGGAGTATATTGGTGTATACTGGAGTAAACAGTTATGTACTGGTGTATACTGGAGTATATTGGAGTATACTGGTGTATACTGGAGTAAACAGTTATGTACTGGTGTATACTGGAGTAAACAGGTACATAGTGGTGTGTACTGGAGTATACTGGAGTATACTGGTGTATACTGGAGTAAACAGTTATGTACTGGTGTATACTGGATTAAACAGGTATGTACTGGTGTATACTGGAGTATATTGGAGTATACTGGTGTATACTGGAGTATATTGGAGTATACTGGTGTATACTGGAGTAAACAGTTATGTACTGGTGTATACTGGATTAAACAGGTATGTACTGGTGTATACTGGATTAAACAGGTATGTACTGGTATGTACTGGTGTGTACTGGAGTGTACTGGAGTATATTGGAGTATACTGGTGTATACTGGAGTAAACAGCTATGTACTGGTGTATCCTGGAGTAAACATGTGCAATGGTGTATAGTGTACTGCAGTATTTTACGATTCAGTAATCAGTGAGTCAATCAAAAGAAATCAGAAGGGCTGGGTTTATCTGACAGATTTTATAAATTGACTGCCGATTAATTGGAGTTAATATTTAAGATGATTCTGTGTAATAATTACATGAATTTCCCCTAGGGGATAATTAAAGTAAAGTATCTGTCTATCAATCTATCCTGAGTAGGACTCAATCAGATGATTAATATTAAATAAGAACTAAATGAAATGTCTGTTTGTGCTTGAATGCAGGTTTATTGCTTTCTAAAACTCAACACCAAATATAAATAGAAATAAAGAGTTTGACTGAGAAACTAAGATGAAATAAACACTTTCCATAAAAGACTCAGTACTTTCCATAAAAGAAAGAATCCATAAATGTTAGTAGAACTACATTCTAGTAGTACTGGTACTACAGCACTGCGGGAGGGTTGAGCCTTTCGATCCAGATCTTTTGGTTTTGGTAAAACCCGGTCCTCTAAGGCCAATGGAACAGATGATGTCATTGTCTCTGATGTGATGTTTGTGTTTCTACGTCAACAGAAGAAAACAGAAGATGTTGAGGAGGAAACCAACTCGTCTGGAGCTGAAGATTGATGACACCGAGGAGTTCGAGAGTGTCAAGAAGGAGCTCGAGGTCAAAATCACTAACACGATCAATACTGTCAATACAAGTCATTACTGTCATCACTAATCAATTCTGTGAACACCAAACTCATCATCCTATTAGTGACAGTTTTTCTGACCATTAACTCGCTCATTAACATATTATGAACACACTAATTAATAACTGTCTGTCTTCACATGAAACAACAGCTCAGGTGTGTTCTTACCTGTGAAGGCCAGAGCAACAGCTCCACCTGAGGATCAGAGACCAGCTTCTGGTCTGGTCAGCTAAGTCTTACTTTTTTTCTGTTTTTTTAGGCCAGGAAGCGTCAGCGAGAGGAAGCGGAGTCAGGTGGCGGAGTGGGCGGGGCATCTGTCATCAGTGTTGACATCATCGGGGGTGGAGCGTCAGCTTCAGCATCTTCCTCCACAGCAGTGACGAGGGCGGAGCTCATCAACGAACGAATCGGCTACAAGCCCCACCCCAAACCAGCAACGCTGCCGACCTTATTTGGAAGTCTACAGTTTTAATAAAATAAAAATAATGTTTAAAGAGAAAAGGTGGTTTGTTTATTTGGTTTCTGTTGTTATGGGACGTTTTACAACATATAGAAAAAAAATTTCAGAATAAAAGCTGGAAAATTAATCAATGTCACGTCACTTTCCTCAAAATTTTTGTATAAATATTCTTTTATAATAAAACCAGCTGGAGACACACAGAAGATTTTCATTCCAAATTATTTAATTTTTTTTAGAAATTTATTCATTTTTACTTATCTCCCAAGTTCGTGAAAAAAAGTTTTAATTAGAAAAAGTGAAAACATCAGTGACATGCAAACAAAATCTACTGATCGTGTCGTTGAAGTTTGTTTATAATAATTTATCAGATTTAAATTATTTCACTCTGAAATACTCAAGTTTGTTGTGATGAATTCATTTTTTTTTAATTTGGTAAAATGTTTTATTTGGTAAACATTTAACAAAGTTTTTACAAAAGTTAAAAAATAAACAAGTTATAAACCTCGTATAATGTTCAACGTTTTTATTTTAAACCAAAGATAAAAATGTTAGAAACTGTCACCGTGTGTTCATAGTTGTTTTATTTTCATAATAAATGCTACGATAATATTTTTATAAAGAGCTTAAACAAATAAAAAAGACAAACGCAATTAGTGAAAAGAAAAAATGAAAAACTCAAAGATGATTTAACAAAAAAAAAAAAAAACTGTAAAAACATCTTTATTTACAGTAACAGTAAGTAGCTCTGACATCATTATCATTTAGACTCATTCCAGGAAGTGATGTTGACCAATCAGGACTCTCGACTGATTTACAATAAGAGCTGTTAATTATTTGTAGTTAATTAACATAAATATAACATTTTTAAATTTTGACGAATTAAAAATTACATTCATTCTCTTCCTGCTTTTCAATTTTCAAAATAAGACTTTTTTTGTCTTTTTTTTAATTTTTTTTTTTTTAAATACTGTTGACTTTTTTTTTTATGTGACAACAACCAGACCACTGATAAGTCAGAAACATTTCCTGGAATCACACTTTAAAAAACAGAGAAAAAAAGAGTTGGGTGGGCGTGGTCTGTGTGATGACTGACAGCTGGTTTTTCAGAATAAAGGTCCACTTTCCTTCCAAAACAGTTTGTAAATTAACTTTTTCAAACAAACACAAAAAGAAATAAAATGAATAAAAACATAATAAATAAAAACAGAAACAAATAAACAGTTTATGTTAGTGCTGACAGCTGATTGGTCCTCAGCAGTGGAATCATTTTTAGTGTTCAATCTGTTGCCCTGGTAACTGTAGTGATGGGGGTGTGGCTTAACATCTGACTGTAACCTGTTTTAGTCTCTTGACATTTTGAGCTTATTTAGTGTTTCAACATGTTGGAAACATGAAAAATGAATTTTTTGTTTTTTTTTCAGATTTTTTTCTCAAAGTTTTTAACGTAAACGTTGAAACACCTGTCAGGTGTGAGTGTATGAGTGTTTTAGTCAGAGATTAGCGTCTGGTGTTTATCTCATGCTAACGTCTTGTCGTCAGTTCTTCCTTTGTCTGTTAATCGATATGTAACAATCAACATTGATCAGGAATAACATGTAGATTAAAACAGAATTCATGTGATCACACCATATCTGATATTAAGCTAATAGGTCCATTTGCTCCATTTTTTCAGACGCAATGTAAAGATGTTTCTACCTTGATCATAAAATCGACAATGGCTGAATTGTGATGTCATGCTTCAGATTGTACATGCTAACAGGTTCATCACGCTGTTGTGTTTGTCTTAGTGTTTTCAATAAACCTTTTTTTTTTTTTTTTACATATTGTTTCTAAAAAGACGATGTGTTTCTGAACCACTTCCGCCTGCTGACCACGCCCACCCACCGGCCAAGCCCACTTGTTGAAAAAAAAAAGTGACTTGTCTTCGCTGATGACGCTCTGCTGCTGAGTACATGATGATGTCATCACTTCTTTTTGATGGCTGCGAGGTCTCGCTGCAGCTCGAAGAACTTGGGTCGGTCCTCTGGGTTGTACTGCCAGCAGCGCTGCATCACTTTGTACACGTCATCAGGGCAACGCTGTGGGCACGCCATTCTGTAACCTAGCAACCAGGAGAGAGGAATGGGGGCAGTTTCTATTTATAAAGTAGAACAATGTTGTCACATAAAACCCTTATTCTGAAAATGAAAGAGGAAATAACATTTTATAAGTGGAGTGCAGGTCTCATCAGGGACTCTGGACCTGAGTCCAGTTTGTTACCGGATTACTTCAAAGGTCCAAGTGTGGTTCAGGTTTGCGCAGGTAGGTTCAGAATGACACCACCCAGTGTAATGATACTACATAACAGTGTGATGACATCACGTCTCTCTATAGCGCCCCCTGCTATCTGGGCGTTCAAACTTTAACCCTTAAAACCAGGTGAAACGTTTTTTTGATGAAATTTGATTCACTGACATTCACGTGGTGAAGGCAAAAATGGCTGACAAAACAAACAACAAACACAGTTCACCTGTTAAACCTCATTAATCTGGACAGAACAGCTGATTCTCTCTGTGTGGTTACCTTTCTCCACCTGCTCTCGGGCCTGCTGATTGGTCATCCCAGGGTAAGGACACACCCCCAGACTGAAGGTTTCCCAAAGCAGGATCCCATAGCTCCACACGTCACTCTCTGAACTGTAACGACCTGCAGCAACCAATCACAGTACAGGAGAGTAACAGTGAGTAAACTGGCTTATATTGTTTATAACCAGGTGTTACAGGTGTGTCACGTGTTAGAGGTGGAGTACAGGTGTGTCAGGTGGGGTACAGGTGTGTCAGGTGTTACCATAGTTGAGGGCCTCAGGTGCGGTCCATTTGATGGGAATCTGTTTGAGTCCAGATGAAGAGTAAACTCCATCATCCTCCTGACGACTCATCCCAAAGTCACTGATCTTCAACACACTGCCTTCCCCCACCAGACAGTTCCTCGCTGCCAGGTCCCTGAGACAGACAGGTGGAGACAGGTGGGGACATGTAGAGACAGATGGAGACAGGTTGGGACAGGTAGAGACAGATGGAGACAGGTAGAGACAGATGGAGACAGATGGGGACAGGTGGAGACAGATCGGGACAGGTGGGGAGAGATGGGAACAGGTGGAGACAGGTCAGGACAGGTAGAGACAGATGGAGACAGGTGGGCAGAGGTGGGGACAGGCAGAGACAGGCGGAGACAGGTTAATTCTGAACCACTGGCCTCCACCAGTTGAACCAGCTCTGAATGTTAAACTGATTTCAGGAAGCTGCAGCTCCTTCACATTTAAAGCCCAATAGAGGGAAGCTAATGGAGAGCTTTAATTGTGAAGTGACAATAGGAAGTATAATAAACCACATGTGTAACATCATATAAAGAGTCTTCTATAACCAGTGGACTCTGCTGGACAGTCTGTACTGACACAGGTGAACAGGTGTGAAGTGACACAGGTGAACAGGTGTGAGGTGAGATACCTGTGGATGCAGTTCTTGCTTTCCAGGTACGCCATCCCAGCAGCAGCATCGACGGCGAAGCGAACCAGCTGCTTTGTCTTCAGCTCATCCTTCTTCTTCCTCAGAAAGGACAGGAAGTCTCCACCTGAAGACACAGCGAGGGGTCACACACACACCTTCAAGAGCAACCAACAACAGAAGGTAAGTGAAGCTCCACCCACCAGGAACCAGCTCCATGACGATGTAGATCGGCTGTCTCTGCGTACAAACGCCAATCAGCTTCACGATGTTTGGGTGGTCGTACTGTTTCAGGATCCTGCAGCCAATCACAGACAGGCAGCATGAGACACCAGCCAATCACAAAGCTGCTACACATTTCCAGGCAGCCAATCAGAAAGATCGTACAGTCTGTGTTGTCATGATGATGAAAGTTCAATTATATAAACAAACCTGGATGTTAAAGTTTAAATATTATGCTTTTCATTTTTTATGTTTTTTTATATTTTGTTTGAACTTCATATTCTTTATATTTATTAGTTATTTATTAATAATATATTGATATATTAATATTGATATTAATATTAACCTGGTCTGACAGGAACCAGGTCTTTCTGCTGCTGATTCACTTCATTTTCTACTAAAAACATTTTTGGTCTTTAATTCTTGTTATTGTTGTTATTGTTTGGTGTTGTTGTTGTTTGGTTTTGGTGTTGTTGTTGTTATTCTTGTTGTTTGGTTTTGGTGGTGTTTTTGTTGTTTGTTGTTGTTTGGTGTTGTTGTTGTTGCTTGGTGTTGTTGGTGTTGTTGTTTGGTTGTTGCTGTTGTTATTGTTTGATTTTGTTGTTTTTTGTTGTTAGTGTTGTTGTTTGGTGTTGTTGTTGCTGTTGTTATTGTTTGGTGTTGTTGTTGTTTGGTTTTGGTGGTGTTGTTGTTGTTTGTTGTTGTTGCTGTTGTTGTTATTGTTGTTGTTTGGTTTTGGTGGTGTTTTTGTTGTTTGGTGTTGCTGCTTGGTGTTGTTGGTGTTGTTGTTTGTTGTTGCTGTTGTTATTGTTTGGTTTTGTTGTTTTTGTTGTTTTTTGTTGTTAGCGTTGTTGTTTGGTGTTGCTGTTGCTTGGTGTTTGTTGTTGTTGTTGCTGTTTGGTGTTGTTGTTGCTGTTGTTGCTTGGTGTTGTTGTTTGGTGTTGCTGTTGTTGTTTGTTGTTGCTGTTTTTATTGCTTGCTGTTGTTATTGTTGTTGTTTGGTTTTGTTGTTGTTAGTTTTGTTGTTTGGTGTTGCTATTGTTGTTTGGTTTTGGTGTTGCTGTTTGGTGTTGTTGCTTGGTGTTTGTTGTTGTTGGTGTTGTTGCTTGGTGTTGTGGTTGTTGCTTGTGTTGTTGTTTGGCGTTGCTGTTGTTTGGTGTTGTTGTTGTTGTTGTTGTTGACATGCAGACCTGGCCTCAGACAGGAAGCGGATCTTCAACTCTGGAGGTAAATCTTCTTTACACGTTTTGACGGCCACCGGCGTTTTGTCGCGCTGCAGTGTTCCTTTAAACACCTCGCCAAAGTTACCCTGGCAACGAGCACACAGCATGGGCATGATGGGACATGGAGGCACAGAAAGTTGAGAGATGTTAATTGTGTGTGTGTGTGTGTGTGTGTGTGTGTGTGTGTGTGTGTGTGTGTGTGTGTGTGTGTGTGTGTGTGTGTGTGTGTGTGTTGTAGGTCACCTTTCCCAGCAGGTCTCCCAGGACCACGTCCTCATGGTTCAGGATCCACTTCTTGTCCTGGACACAGGAAATGACATCACATTCATCATCATCACTAATCTCACACACACTAACTCACTGTAACATGTTCATGTGTGGAGGTGTATTTATGAGTGGTTGCCTTGACGACGGGGTTGAGCAGCACGACTCCAGACTTCTTGGTGATGACTTGTTTAGTGGAGAAATGATGCTCGATGAGCTGAGGGATGGTCGAGAAGCCGGTCCCTTCAAAACGGTACTGATTCTACCAGAGGGGTGGGGGACACACAGAGAGAGAGGTGGGTGGGGGGACACTGGGACCACAGTCCTGAACAGGGTCTCTGTTCAGAACCTTGTTGGTCATGTGACGTTAACGAGGCAGTGATACATACATCGGCAAACTGGATGATGAAGTGTCGTCTCTGGTCATCAGAAAACACAGACAGGACGTACTCGCCCGGTTTACCATGACTCTCCCTCACCAGAAAGTCTCCCTGTTGCCGTAGTAACTCCTGAGCCTCAGTGCGGGGGATGGCGCCATGATACCACTCCTGCTCCGCCAGGGGGCGCTCTGATGTCGGGATCACATCGAAGAACTGCTGCCGGGGGCAAAGACACAAAGAATTCAAGAAAATTTATTGACAAGAGACAAACAGCAGGACAACAGTAAAGCCAGGTTGTGATGACATCATCAGTGATCTCAGTTTCTATTGGTGGAAATATTACATAACTCTGATCATCTATAATTGGTAAAAACTGGTTTATTTATTCTGATTTGCTTATAAAGGGGGGTGATGTTTGACTGGACCTGAGCTGCTGACATGTCACTAACATCTGGAAACACCTGGAAGTCTCACCGAGGTGGAGGAGCCCAGCATGGCTTTAGGAGAACGGATCATCCCAGCCAGAGAATGTCGCAGTGTGTCGAAGCGAGAGCTCTTCTCCTTCGTCTTATCCTATACACACACACACACACACACACACACACACACACACACACACACACACACACACACACACCATCCAGCTGTTGTAATGTTATAAGACAGAGGCACTTTTATTTTGATCTCAGATCTCAGACCTCAGATCAGATCACTGATTTGATCAATGATTGAATATTTACCGTGGAGCCGACGGAGCGGGCGTCGTCCTCGTAAGGCAGCGCTGGGGGAGGTGGCGGTGGGGGAGGGGAGGTGGTGGCGGCAGCCATCTTGGCATCCAGGAGGGCCTTCTGGGAGGCGAGACGGGCCTCAGAGCCACGCAGTGATTGGACAGCGTGACGAAGCTCGAGCAGAGAGAGTTTCTGACTAAGCAGCAGGACACAGCTGAGGGCAAGAGACATTAACAGACAGTCACGACACAGAGAGAGAGAGGACGTGGACAGAAGTGGACCTCAGACTCACTCGCTCCTCCTCTCAGCGCTCTGCTGACTCGTTTGGATCTTGGTGTCCAGGTCGTCGGCCAGCGCCTCCTTCGTCCTCAGATTCTGCTGAGTCAGCGTCAGCTCTTCTGTTGCCGACGACAACCTGGAAGACGAGCACAGTGAGACTTTCTGTTTGCCTGTGAATCTGGAAAACATTTCTGAAACATCTGGACAGTTTTCCTTTTTTTATATTTTCAGCATCTGTTTGCTTTTATTTGATAGGACAGAGACTTTTACTTTGGCAGGCTACAGGAAACAGTTTAATTTTATAGTAGCTCACATGGCCTGCAGGCTTTCAGCTGTCAGCGTGTTCCAGAGGATCTCATTGGCTGGCAGGTTGTCCGTCTCCTCCAATAGAGATGTGTCAAACTCCACGCTTGGCTCTGGGGTCTCCGGAGACCTGAAAGAGAGAGACACCATGGTAACCAGGAGCATGTGACAGAGAGACCGTTATCATGGTAACCACAGAGGAAGCGAGCATCTGACCTGTAAGCGTCGATGAAGTGTTGGTACTCGGCCAGAGGATCGATCTGCTGAACGGCTGCTGAAATCTCCTGATGAACCTTCACGATCTCCTCCGTCAGCA